CGTTCAGAAGTTGATCGGTAGACTTGTTTTCCTAGTCTGTCTTAATCCGGAAGCTCTGCTGAAATCTGTTCACGGGGCGACCCTGCTCGGACTGGAAATACGATGGCACAGCTTCCAGCACCACAGTACGGCACAGTAGTACGCGGGTGATGGAGCGTCATCTTACGGAGAGGAAACTGGAGGCTTCGATGGGGGAGGGTTAGGGGTGCTGGGATCCAGGGGTGTTCAGGCAGAGAATCTGAGGAGGGCTTTGGGTCTGTGTCCTCCGGTTCATCCCAGGGGTGCAAGGGCAGCACTAGACTGCAGCATCCCAGACACCTGGTCCCCGGTCTGGCGCTAGCCCCCTTGTACTCGTCTTAGCCCATCTCGCTCCTGCCCTGCTCCGGCACAGCCCTTACCCAATCCTCTGCTGCTCCATGACGTCCAGCCTCTCGGCCCTCTGGATGACCTGCAGGATGGCCTCCACCTCCGTCGGGTTGAGGCACTGGCTCCTCCTCTGCTTCTCCGTCTGGTAGGTGTGCACAGACCAGCCTGTCTGCAGCCTAGAGAAAACAACACAGACAGCGTTGAGGCATCTCCATGCTCCCCCTGGCCAGCATCCCCCCCTGCCCCAGACTCATAAGCTTCCCAGAAATGAGTCCGGGAACATCCAGGAAGATGTTCTACAGCCCGGTGCTGTGGGCTGGGGCCAAGAGTGCAGGGAACAGAGACAGAATTGACGTGAGGCTCCAGGTCCTAGCTCTGCCATCCGCCAGCTACTGAGCCTTGGCAAAGATGGCAGCGCCAGCTAAGCACTGTGGACGTGGGACTCTGGAACACCACGTTACAGACGGAGAAGGCCACAGCATGTGAGGTTTCCAGAGGAATGGGAGCGGGTAGGGGTGGCGAATGACCATCAAGCAAAAAATGACAACTTCAATTGGTGTCATACCAGGAAGTGAGATGGACCGTGGTGGGGATGTTTCATAGTTCCTCCCCAAGTCAAACATGGAACTAACAGGTGACCCCCTCGGCATGTCCCCCGAGGCTTGAAATCAGGGTCTCAACCTGAGACTGGATGGACAACGTGTGCTGCAGCACGGTTTGCAGGAGTCCAAGGGTCTGCGGCCGGCACATAGCAGGAAGGATCACACAGCAGTAAACAGGAGCCGGGCTCTGCCCCACACTACAACATGTAGATCGACCTCGCAGGGGGCGAAAGCCAGACACAGAGGAACAATACTGTGGGATCCCGCTTCCACAGGCACATGCAGAGAGCGAGAACTCGGAAGAGAAGTCACTGAATCGCTGACATTTGGGATGTTTCTTTGGCCATTGGAAGGGTGTCGCCACGAACGCTGGTGTCCACAGTCGGTTTGAGTTTCTGCTGTGGTTTCTTCGGGGTCTACCACCAGGAGTGGAATGGCTCCGAGCCTTTACGGCTTCTCTCAGAC